AGGGCCTGCTTCTGCTTATGAGGGAACATCTGAAAATTATCTTGCCCTTGAACTTTTATCAACAGCGTGGAAATCTATGCGATGAAAAGTTTGATGATGGGCGCCTTGAAGGAAATGTACCTTTTTCTCTCCCCCCTCCCAATACAGCTTGAGTCGAGAGAAGTCCGTTACTTGGTACAATGGCGGTATAAGCTGCTAGACGATTCTGGATCGTGCACCGTGCACGCCAACCAAACCCATCACTCCTCGCGGTTGGTTAATAGGTTGTCTGGAAGAGAGAAAACATTGACTTGCACATCGGCAAGCTTCCGCAAATCATTGCATAGACACATTGCATTCAATAACCGCTATGATTCAGCATCGAAGTGTAATGCGTGGCGTATCTCAAACAGGTGTCGATCTATGCTGAATGCTTCATCCATTACTTATAATTTGATTTGACCCCTACGACTCGACATCTGATAAATGTTTGGGGGGAGGTACACCCGATCTACCTGGGATGAAAATCAAAATTCGGACGCGTGGCGTGTTCCAGAATCGACCACTGTTAAGTGCTTTATCTCTTTCCTACATCCTAGATGGCTACGCTACTTCAGAATTCTTTCGGATGTGCCAAGGGGCCTAAAAATGATCTTGATTTCGCGACCAAATGCCTTTGTGGATCAGTCTCTCTTATCTCGACCTCGTTAAAAAAAACGCCGGGAATCATTACGAAGAACGTCGCTGGCTTCAGTTGCTAATTAAAAGCAAGCGATTCGATCCATTAGACACCACAGGCACGGCGGCTTTGAAGCTAATTGGAAGTTGAGTCGACTGCCACGATCATCTTCGTACACTGAATGCAATCCCATTTGCGTTTTCACCCCCTAAGCCTTACCAACACAGCTTCCTTGTTCGCCTCCTTCAAAGCCCAAACCTAACAGGATCAGCATAAAAGCCGAAAAACGGACGCCTAATGCGATTCTCCGGAAAGCGGGAGGGCTCGAATAGTGCACAATCTCTGCTGAGTCGCTTTTATGTCCAGCAATAAAATCCTCAGGACTCATTAAGCTGCGTATGACACCGCCTGGCCCCCCATTCACCATTCAACTTAGCCGTATTCCTGTTATCTCTTTTAGCATCGCAAAGAGTTTTGTCGTTCGAGCCAATTCTTGAGATATTGTAATAGCATAGAAATCGTACATTGAAAATAAGTAGACACTTCAATTCGACTGCGTTCGACCTCCTGCGAAGGCTTGCGGCTTCCCATGGTTCTTCACGATACCAGTTTAGCTCCGCACGCAACCGCGCGCATCACATGGTAGGGCTTAGTGAAGCTGGACAACTTGCTGAATATTAGGTCACGTTCTGAGAAACTAACCAGTAAGATGTTTGGAAGATGTGTCACATAGAATTTCGAAAGCCGTCCAATTTTGCTGAAGATTGAGCGTATCGCCACAAGTACGGCCGGAATGAAAATAACACTTATCATGACTTTGTAAACACTCACCATTGATATCGAGCTCGGAATGATTTAGCGGTTTATAGAATTTCCACAATTGAAGAATCGGTGTGTAAGTGAAATATAACCAATCAATCAGCATCTAACCATGATGGAGATTGCAAATATGATGGAAATTCGCTATTGGTCCAAGCCCAGATAGTTGAGCAGCTCAACTTTCTTTGCTTCTTTAGATGAAAGGATAGGAATGGAACATATTCACGTGCTAGGGACCTGGTTAGTTCAACTGAGTGCACGCTCAACTGTCGTTACTTTTATCAGTACAGTTGCCGCTCATACCACTTTCTGTCACCTACATTCAACCCTCGCCACCTTGATCGCTTGCCAGTGATAATTTGCAACGAAGTTGTAGAGACCT